GGCGCGGGGCGCGGGGCGCGCAGCCTACCTTTCAGCTTCTCGGCCAGCAGCGCGGCCTCGTGCTCCGAGTAGTGCATGATGGCCGGCGGCGAGGGCGGCCGCAGCCGGTCCTCCTCCAGCTTGCGCCGGTGCCGCTCCTCGCGGGCGCGCATCCTCTGCTTGCACTCCCACTCGTAGAAGTCGTCCCTGGCCTGCGCGAAGTCCACGTGAAGGCGGCCCGAGTCCTTCTTGTCGGTGCTGGACCCTAGCCGCATCCGGTAACCTGGAACCAAGGGAGAGGCTGGTGACGGGCACCGTCCACGCGGCACCGCTGGGTCCTGGCCCTCGCTCAAGGCGCACTAAGCGAGCTCTCGGGGATTTCTCTGCCCTTGCCGAGGACACCCTTTCCCATGGGAAGCGGGAGGAAGATAGCCTTGGCCCCTGTAACCGGAAGCACTGCCAAGTCAAGGTCATCGCAGATTTGGGGATAAACCACTGCGGAGAGGTGTCTGGGAGGGTCTGCTACGCGTTTGCAGGCCAGTGTTACCAAGAGGATGACCCCAAGAGCCCGGGCACTTAGGCTAACTCCTTCTTCCCCCTGGCTTCCAGGAAGCTCAAAAACAAATTTGACACATAGGGTTGTTGGTTTCGTTTTTGTTCCCTCTACTTTTTTTATGGCTTTGATTTTATATTTTCAATTTACTGTAACTCTATTGCATAAACTCTCTTAAATTCTTTTTAGAAAGAGATGGAGTAGGAGTAAATAAAGAGTATCTATGATATTTATAGAGATCTACAAAGTAAATTCCACAACACCTCACTCACACTCTATCACTTCATTCTCCTAGAAAATGCTGCTGCTCAATTCTCTCTCGGCAGCTGCAAAAGGCACAATTACCAAGGCAATTTTGCAATGCTGTTTTATTTCCACTTATCCTCTGGGGCACACAGGAGAATATTTTACCTTCAATCAAGAGGCCTTGCCACTGTCTTCCTTAGCGCCCTGCAGCAGCTCATCTGGCATGCAGCACCGCACAAATTGTCTGTGCAATCTTTGAAGTCCACAGGAGCCAACATGAGAGCCCAGAGCTAGACCAAAAAATGGGCCTGCAAATCTTTGGGGGATTTACTGTGAGCTATCCAACTTCCAAAGATTGTGAGCAGAAACTTGATCTGAGAAATCAACAGCAACAGAACTGAAACCAGACAGCCAGCCAAACTTCAAATGAGGAAGACTTGGCTTTGAGGTTGCTCTTCAGTTTGGGGTACTCAGAATTTAAAAACATAAATTCAGGTCCCAGCACGATCACGGCTGTCAGGGGCTGCCAGAGGAGAGAGCAAACGAAGCACTTTTGCTGGGTAGGGGCTTTGCAAATAAGACATCACTGTGAAATGCTAGGCTACACTGTGCTGATGTTCAAGATCTTGTGGTAGATCTCAATGGATTATTGTAGCATTTTGGGTTGAAACTCAGCTGAAAATCCCTGTAAAGGCTGACTTCTCCCCAGTAGGGCACTTCACGCGTTTGAAAAGTTACAAATATGAAACAGATCTCACATCTGATTCCATTATGACCTTCTTACACCTAGGTTTCAAAGGTGTTATCTAAAAATGGAAAAACTTAGTGCCTATCAAAAACACAAACATCTGATCACAGACAAGCAGAATTAACTCTAAAGCAGAGTGTATCTTGGTTGTGGGCTGTGGAAATTTAACAAATCTGCAGGCAGGCCACAGTGATATATACATAACAGCTGAGCAGGCAGGGAGACTTGAGACTGGCCAGTATCCCAACTGGCTAAGCAACTTTCCTTTGCTCATGCTGAGAGCATTGCTTTTCAGACATTTCTGGTTCCAAAAAGCACGCTCTCTTTCACCAAAACCTCCTCATTAAGGCTTTAAAAGACAATCTGATGAGGATGAGTCTAAAATTAGCTTGACCTTCAGATGTGAACCCGGACCTAAAATTAGACAAGCCTTCCATCTGGGCTCAGGCTTGCAGGAGCTCACACGCAGGAGGAGCAGCCTTCCCTCCTTCCTGTCCCTCAAATTAATCCGCCTTTCAGATCTTCCAGGGACGGATGCTGCAGCCTCCACAGCGCAGCAGAAGCACAGCTGGGAGATGCCCAGGCACCCAGGCAGGGAGGCTGGAGGGAAGGCCTTTGCTGTAGGTTCCTCCTGTCTCAAAAGGAAGGGCAGACCTTCCTCAAGGAGCCATGGCTGAGAAGCAGGATCAGGGTCCAAATGGAAAAAATCATAACATCAAGGCATAAATAAAGGAGAACCTTCCACCTTCCTACCTTTGGGCCTGTTCATCTTCGGCGATGTCTTATGGGGTTTCTGACTGTCTAAACATTATGCTGTGTTGGTGTTAAAGCACCTTTGGTCTACTCTAACCCTCTCATTTATTCAGATAGGGGTAAAGTAATAGTTTTATTGGTAGAGCTGTGATTAGAACCCATGTCCTGAGAACCAATTCAGTTCTTCTTTATCATCATCAGGATATTTGTGTTAAAAACAAACATTTACATGCTGAATGGTTCCTATGTTTCGGGTGCCCTGCTCAGCACGTAATATCCATTATTTTTATTTGGTCCTCATAAGAGTCTATGAGGTAGTACTGTCACTATCTCGATTTTGCAGATGAGGGAAAGGAGTCTCAGAAGGAGGTTATCTTGCCCAAGGCATGTGAAGCCCAGTTCCAGGCACTCAACAGAGTCCCCAACTGTCTGAGGATCACTCTGAGGCTATAGCTCAAGAATATGTGAAAAGTATAACAGAGCTGTCTGTGTGTTGTAAAATATTTTTATCCTACGTTTAAGCTTCCATCTCTATTTTGGAAGGCTGTCAGGTTTTTTTTCCCACTTTGTAAGGTTTAATTGGAATAAGGGTTTTAAATTTCGCCATATCACTATCTTGCTCAGGAAATTTCCGCCTTATTGGATTAACCCCAAAGCTTCTGGGGTTTGCAAGAGAATTTCATGACAATAGGGGCCGACTGCAGAAATCAAGTAAACCTGCCAGTCATGTTCAGATGTGCTTTTATTTTTCTCCTATTCTTTTCTCATCTTCCCCCACTGGCTTTGCCTGAGGAGTTTGCCCCCAGAGTGACAGACTGAAATAGGCAGATTGAGAGTGTGAGGAAATGGCAATGGGTTGAATCTAAAAATACATCCTGCCCGGCCGGGCGTGGCTCAGCGGTTGAGCATCAACCTAGGATCCAGGCGATTCCCGGTCAGGGCACATGCCCGGGTTGCGGGCTCGATCCCCAGTTGGGGGTGTGCAGGGGGCGGCTGATCAGTGACTCTCATCACTGAGGTTTCTATCTCTCTCTCTCCCTCTCCTTTCTTCTCTCTGAAATCAATAAAGATATATTTAAAAAAATAAAAATAAATAATAAAAATACATCCTTCTAAAGCCACATAGCAATACTAGCCCCAATAATTCTTAGGTTTGGCAAAGGCCTTGCAGACAGACTCCGTACACTTGCTCTGATACCCACAGAGTGAAAAGCAGCATTAGGTCAAATTTCGACATTTATAACAATCTCTCATATAAATTGGCACCAAAGAAGAAGGGATCACAGGGTGGGCTTAACCAAGATAAATGTACAAGCAACTGGGCAATGATACTGGATCTTCCCCTAGCTCGCACAGACTTACTTTCTCTAAAGAACTGATCTTGATTTTGTCCCCTGGTGTCTAGAAAGTGAATCACTTCTGAAAAAAGGAAATTATGCTGAGAGAGTACTTTATTCCCCCAGAGAGTTACATCCAATAATCATAATGGTCCTCAGTATTCATAATATTGCTTTTCATATAATAAGCACTTGAGACCATTAATTAGAAACTTGACGGAATTCCTAAAGACTGGATGTGGGAAACCATTCCTGCAGGGAGGTACAGGCACAGACTTAACGTGGAGCCTCTGGCAGCCCAGGGAAAAGTCAGAATTCCTCCTTTTCTAGCCCCAAACTGTGAGGAATTTTATTGTGCATTAAGGCGAGAGGGAATAAACTCATATTAACATCATAAAACATAACAAAATGCCTAGAAAGCCCCTTATGTAATGCAAAGTACCAGAAAGGTAAATGGCTTTATCAACCATGAATTCCTCTGCAAAGCGAATGTGGCAAAAATTCTTCTTGCTCTTCCTAATCGCTGTGATATCACCGCACTGCTCAAAGACTTCTTGAATAATTTCCTCAGTAGCATTTTCTGGTAATCCTCCGACAAACACAGTCTTACATCCAGGAGGTCGTTCTCTCGTGGAAGGAGGCGGAAGATCTAATAATTAAGCACAAAAAAACAGAGGGTTTTGCCTTTGATCGCTTTGCGCTCTTCTTTCTGGTTCACCCGGCAAAGGCACAACTCGCAGAGTGACTGTCTGCACTCTGAGAAACGACAGATTTCGACGCCAGCTCGCACTGACCGGGGGCTGTCTTGTTTTTCAGTTCCTCTCCCCTCCTCCTCCCAACTTCCTTCACTTTCTGTGTTCATTTCTCCACCGAGCGGCTAGGCTTGCCCGTGAGCAAAGATAATGCAAATGTGAGCATAATTTCGTTTCTCCTTCATAATACAGAAGCCCAGAAAACGAGGCAAAAACCTTTGCAAGGTGCAAAGCATGATGAAATGACATGATGAAAAAGCCCGGTGCGTCATCTGCTTTGTCTTGCTCCGGATAACGGAGCAGCGAGGCAGGACGCGGGGAGCCGAACCTGAAAGAGCGCGCTACTCACTCGGCGGGGAAACCTTGGGCCTGAAAAAAACATTCTTTTATTATTCACATTGAAATGAGCAAACTATTAAATTTGGGGAAGGCTGTATAAAAAGATAAAATGTACAGTCACAACATTTTACCTAGTTTATATGTAGATTACTAAAGCAATCTCCCAAAAAGTCCACTTAAAAAAGGCAACACTGATTAATAGGGATTTTTAAAAATCCTAGCTATTTAAGCCCATAAACTTAGTATCTGAGGCGAAACTGAAAAAAAAACACTCTGGCCCATTTATTTCATCAAATGTATGTTTCCTTCAAGAAAGTGCAATTTGGCCCACGGAGTCTGAGATGCAGGCTCCCCCCAAAATTGCTAACTGCCAAATTAATTCAATTTTCCATCTAGCAAAAAGCATTTCAGAGCTTTTCTCCCACATCTGTGAAGATGGATGGACGTGCTCACATATTTCACACTATGTTCTGCAGGAAAAGCTAGACTTCATTGCACGCGAAAAGATTCTGAATGCTGGATATATATTCCCAAATCACAAGTACTGCCTTCACGGCATTGAGTTAGCTCATGGACAGACACATGGACATGTCCCCACACATGTGTTCTAATCTAGAGACAGAGGACTTCTGTGGAATGGATCCCCACTCTGTGTATCTATGTGGAAGAATTCTGAGTCACACCTGAAAATGAATGCAAAGCTATAATTTAAAAAAATGGAAGAAATTTAAATTGATAAGCAAACATGTCTCACAGGCATCACTTACTTGGATTTTGAGGGAAAAGAGTACAACTTTTGCAGTGGATTATTTCTTTGATGACAGCCACTTCTGTTGGCGGTGGGGGTGGCACCAGCCCCAGGCCTGGTATCATTGGGTTAATGGGGGTGATCCCAGTCATCATGTTGAGGCCTGGATCAAAACCTGGTACACAGATTGAGTCTGGAAAGTACACAAGATAACATTTTGGCTGGAGGATCTGAAATCTTTTGTATTTTCCTGAAAAGATTATTTGACTTTATGCTTTCTATTTTTTAAGAATTTCTCCTAGCACTGTGGAAAACTATTTCAGAAAGCTAAGGAGAAGATAAAAGGTGAACTTAAAACTACATGAAAAGAAAATTATATTATTTAAAACACTAACATGGCGAACGGAACACAGCATACTGAAGTGTAAAACCCTGCACCATGAAGCTCTGCTATTATTGTGAATGGGATTTCTGTTTCTTAACATTGGTGTATTGTTTACACTGCTTCAGGACCCAAGATGTGGGAAGAAATATCATTTAACATCGAAGTGGCTGGTGAATCTAGTCGTCAACCTGCTTTTATCAGAGGGGACTTCTTATAAAAGTCTCTTAGACGTTTGACCTAGATTTAGAAAAGTTTAATTTATATATGTGCACTTTCTAATGATGCATTCAGGTTCAACTTAACCTATTTCTCCCAGGAAATAAAACAAACAAACAAAGAGTTATTATAATTACTATGGCTGGGTTAGATACATGCAGGCATAAAGTTAACGATATACATTCCTAAAGTCTATTGGATAATCACACTTTCTTCCTATAATTCAATCAGCAAATAATTGACTACCCTTCTGAAATCTTTATTTGCTGTATGAAAAAAACAAATTTATGCCCATTATAAAAAATTGAAGGAGGCAATATAAACTCTGAATTGTTCTTTTAATGTGGTAATGAAGCAAGTAATTTCAAAGGTGATATAAAGGGGTTTTGTTTGTTTTTTAAACAAGTAAGACTTTTCTAAGAGCAGGGACTGTTCAAATGTACTAGACTGTTAAAAGTTTCTAGAATAGCTGCAAGTGGATCCCTCTCCTGAGACTTTTTCTGTTTGCAGAAAACAGATACTCCCACTGGTGGTGTAATAATGTTCCTAGACAGACAAATAGTAGCACAGATGCCACCAGGCACAGTCACGGTGACCCTCCACCACAGTCCTCAGGGATGAATTTCCCTTCTCTTACTTTCCCGTCTTTTCCTCCCTCCTCCTAGATGGTTCTTCCTTCCTGCGCCCTCTCCCCTGCCTGGGTCACTAAGCCATTGCAGAGCATGTAGAAGGACCAGGATTAGCTTTGTCTTTCTGGGAAAAGGTTCATGATAGCTTTCCTCCAGCTACCCTGGGCATTTCCACTCCCCCTCTGGGTTGAATAGAATAAGCAGGTGATCCTGATCTATAACCCCAGGAGGACTCTTGTCCCATTTATTAAATCCACTTAATTTGATAGGGTACCACTGGGGCTTCAGCAAATGAGGGTGTGTTTTTTTAATTTTAATTTTTTAACTCTAAATATAAATACGAAATAAGCATTCTCTTTGAAAGTAGCCACCTTGACATTCTGGGCACTTCTATATTACGGTTCTCAGTTTCTTCATCTGTAATGTGGGGTTGTTGACAGATAATCTCCTGGAGCACTAGCACTCCTGGATGCCAGAACTCTGCTGGTGCTGCTCAAAACCAAGGCATATACAGAAGACAAACATTTGGAGGGAACAGAGACAAGACTCAGGCTTGGGCTGTTCACCTGAAATCCTCAGCAAGTTTCACACATCTTATTCCCGCTTTCCCCATGAAGAAAATGAGGCTTAAAGCAGTTCGGTGACGTTTCTAGCATCTCAAAGCAAACCAATGGTAGACTTAGAATTAGGTCCCAGGCCTCTGCTCCATGTTTAAACAGGTGTCTTTTTAACTACTTCAAAGTTTCCACCTAGAATGACCCAACTGGACCATTCACCTAATATACGCCACTACTAGAAATGTACTCTACTCTTTAAAAAAATCAAGACTTAGCCTCCTGTCTAGATGCCAATTCTAAGGGAAAAGTTCCAGAACACAATGGTTCTCAATGTCATCATCACTGAAATGACATACTGGCTTCTAAGGTGAATATAGTAGAAATAAAAATGGGAATATCGGCATATTTGTGCCTTTATTTAATCTCATTCCAAACATAAGCTTTGCCTGTTCCTTTCCTGGCCTGGCCCTCACTCTTGTTTGCCAATATAGGGTGATTTAAGGCTGAAACCACTCAGGGCTGCAAACCCTGAAATGAGAGCCCAGCGAATGATAATAACCAGATGTTTCCCACAAACAAGATGAGAAGCCCAGTGCCTGCACTGTTTTAGTTGTAACAGATTTCTTTTTGAAGGCCACATAAATAAATACATTGTCAGGAAGCGGAACGAAAGACGCTGCTCCTGAGCAAAATATTTAATATACAGCAAGAGTTGCTTTGCTCTGTCTCAGACACCCACAGAAGAGACCGTGGGGTTTAATGGAATCTGCATGGTGAGTGCAGTAGCTTGAAAAGAGCTTCGAAAGGAATTAACACTTAAATTATGTTGGACCTCAAAGGATCTGAAATTCAGTATTTGAGGAAGGAAGTAGAGAAGGATTTAACTTTTTTTTTTTTAAAAGAACCCATTACTTTTTAACAATATATGAACAGATGGGAATTGTTTTCTCAAACAGCACAGGAACCTACTATGTACTAACTTGTTAAAGCAAATGCACAATTTTCAAAAGTCTGAGGAAGACACACACACAGGAAGACAAAGGTGAGGAGAGAATGTACACCCTGAGAGTCAGCCCCTTGTCTTGCTTAGAAAAGGTGTCCCTGTGAACTTCAGAGATAATGAGCTGTAATTCCACTCAGGGAAAAGAGGAAGGAGGCTTAAATTGCAGCAAGAAAGAATCCAATTAAGTATATAGTAGAACTTTCTTTTAGAAACTGCACTTGAATAAGAGGAAGGGTTATTTATTTCCAACTGTGGCCCTGTCAGCTCCTCTCTGTATTGCTGACTGCAAGCACACAGGCAGCAAGCCAAAGCTCAGCAAATGTTTCTTTTTAGTTGTCTTTTCCCAACAGAACAAGACAAAAACAGAAACAAATAACCTGTTTACTGGTTCATATGTAGTCCAGTGTTTTATCAAAGACGGGCATTTTTCAGAGGGGGTTTTGTATTCAGGACTTTAGAGATATGGCAGTTTCATTCATTCATTCATTCATTCATTCATTCATTCATTCATTCATTCAGTATTCACAGGGCACTTACTATTATCAGTATCTGGAGCTACAGAGGTAATTGTAATATGTTCTCCACTTAGGGAAACTACAGGGTTTGAGGAGAGCAAAAAGGATGGGCGTCAAACTTAAGAGAAGATTTAAAAATATGATCTGAGGTTCAAAGGCCTAAAAGAGCCATCCATGGAAGGACCTGCCAAGAAGAGCCTGTGAGGTCTGAGGAATTCCAAATATTTCCCAGGGCTACAGCATAGTGAGCACTTAGGAGTGTGGCTACAATGTACTGAGGGGCCACCGGAGTCAGATCAGATCAGATCAGATGTGATCTTGCCCCAAAAGCAGGGCTCCAGGGCCCCCTTTCTCTTCTCTGAGACCCAGATGAGACCACGAGAGCACGTGGGAGCAGTGCCCAGGACTTGTACTGGGCAGAGGGACAGGCTGGAGGGGCTCTGAAACACCTGCGGTGGCTCCTCTCCTTTCTCCAGAAGAATTATTGACTCAAAATATGATCTATCCTCACTCAACATGAAACCACAAGATATGCAAGGACATTCTGTTTACTGGAACTTTGGATGGAGAAACTGTTTTTCACAATAGTTTCCCATTGCAATTTACAATTCCTGCTCTTCTACGTCAGTTAAGTTCACGAACTATTAAAGTAATGCTTTTTTCATTCCATGTCCTCCTTTTCTCAAGTATTCTTAAAAATTATTTTATGATCAACAAAGAAAAGCAGTTTTTAAAAAGGTGACCTTGAAGTAAAAGGCTCTGGTCACAGCTGGGTGACCATGAAGCCGACTAGTTCCTTAACCTCTCTGGGCTCCAGCATCTTCATCGGGTGAATGTGAGCATGAGCACCAGACAAACTACCTCCACAAAGTGGGAGCACCAGAGAGGACAATCTGTGCAAAAGCAGTTATCAAAGTGCTAAGGGTCTGAGTCTGCCATCTAATACACCTGAGATGAGTCCTGGGCCAGCCACGCCCTGACTTTGTGACCTCAGGAAATTTAACTAATCTCCCTAAGCCTGATTTATAATATTTATAAAATGGGGATAATCATATTTAAATTTTAATATTCTTGTGAGAATTAAAAGGGATAAAAAAAGCCCAAAGTGTTTACCATAAATGTCCAGCACATGGTAAATACTCAATAAATGGTAGCAATTACACACAATACCAATACATATATATGCTATATAAGATAAATATTTATGTAAACTTAAATAAATATGTAATTAGCATTATTTATACATAAAGGATCATGATGATGATGACAGAGTGTTTCATCTGATAAACATCTGAGTGCCTACTAGGTGTTGTATGTTTTGCTAGGTACTTGGCCTGCAGAGACATAGATATGAGTCCTTCCTTCATGGAAGTGAGGGTCTAGTGGCAGAAATAACTAACTAGAAGAATGGCAACACAGTATGACAACTGCTATGAGACATCTGAGTAAGAGGTGTAGGGAAACACAGGGAAGGGGCCATGAAAACCAGTCTGGGTAGGGAGCGATGGATTGAATTTTGTCCCCCTGATAAGATGTTGAAGTCCTAATCCCCTGGTACCTGTGAATGTGACTTTATTTGGAAATAGGGTCTTAGTACATCTAATCAAGCTAAGATAAGGTCATACTCAATTAGCGTGGGCCCTATCTAATATGACCGGTGTCCTTATAAAAAGAGAAGAGACACAGACTGACAGAGAGACTGCCATAGGACAATAGGGCAGTGATTACAGATAAGGGGCTACAAGCAAAGGAACACTGAGGACAGCACCAAAAACCAGAAACTAAGAAAAAGTCATAAAACAGGTTCTTCCTAGATCTTTCAGAAAGAGGATGGCTCAGGCCAGCACCTTGATTTCAGTCTCTGGCCTCCAGACTGTGAGAGAAAATA